GGGGAGGGCGGGACGCCGGGGAGGTCCCGCCCCTGCCCGTTGCGGGGACCGGGGGCTGTCCCCGCGGCTCTGCCTCCTGCCCCCCCGCGGCGCACTCCCGGGCGCCCCGCTCCCGGCTGCAGCTCCCGGAGGCTGGCCGAGGCCGACCGGGTTCCACGGACCCGGCCCAGTCCGCTCCAAGCGCCGCTCCGGCCCCTTCCTGCCGCTGGCCCGCCTCCCGCCCCGCCCGCTCCCGGAGCCGCCCGGGAATCCCGGGCCCTTTGCTCCAGGAGGGCTGTGGGAATCCTGGGTAGGCCAGGCCTCCTCCGGGATCGTCCCCAATCCGGAGGGGCCTACGCCCTCCTTGAATCCGCCCACCCCTCCCGGAGACCCAGTCTGCTGGCCGCAGACTGTCCTCTCATTTCCACCCAGCACTCTTTAACTTTCCAAAGTCACTGCGCGGCAGTCAGAAACCCATCTCTCCTGGGAGGAAGCCGAGGCCAGGAGAAGCCATGTGATCTGAGATGGAATCTAAACTCGAGTGGCCTAGGTTTTCTCATACGTAAAACAAGAATAAGAGCTGAAGCACGAATTTTGCAACTCTCGGAAAGGACCCTAGTCCAGGGCTTAGCTCAGAGCAGGGGCTAAGAGGATCATCAGTTACACAATGATTATTGTTTCTCCAGTGTTCACACGCTCTTACAATCTCATTTGAGCTTGCCTCACACATAGCACATAGACAAATGAGGAAACAGACCCAGAGAGACTGAGTTACTTGCCTGAAGTCACACAGCTTGCCAGAGGTTTCTGAGAGTGGGGCCTTGCAGCCCAGGTCTCCTGAGTTCCACATCCTGTTTTTTATCTCACGATGTCAGTTGCAATCTCAGCAATTCCTCTAACGAGCTGTGTTTTTATCTTTTATCCAGAAGGCAGCTGTAGGTCAAGAATTTATTGTCCCTTCCTGTCAGAAGGCCTAGCTATCAGTCCCTAGCAGGGCAGATACTGCTAGTTATATCATATGATCAAATAAAATCTCTGATGGTAGCTCCTCCTTTAAATTTTTTTTTTAATTTATGGAAAATTTTTTTTTTTATTTTTTATTTAACTTTTGGCTGCGCCTGGCCTTCTCTAGTTGTGGCGAGGAGGGGCGACTCTTCGTTTCATTGCAGTGGCTTCTCTTGTTGCAGAGCACGGGCTCCAGGCACCTGGGCTTCAGTAGCTGCAGCGCTTGGGCTTGGAAGCTGCAGCTCGCGGGCTCTGGAGCGAGGGCTCAGTAGTTGTGGAGCATGGGCTTGTTTGCTCTGCAGCATGTGGAATCTTCCCAGACCAGGGATTGAACCCACATTCCCTGCATTGGCAGGCAGATTCTTATCCTCCACGTCACCAGGGAAGTCCACTCCTGCCCTTTTTAAATGGTGCAGGAGAGCAGGGTGGGGGGGTGGCTTTGAATGGAACACACACTCCCTGCCATCCCTTGGTGCAGAAGAGGCAGGGCTCTCATTTCCTGACGTTCCACGGTATCCTCCACCCGGTTCTAGGCACTTGAAAAGGGGTCATATCTAACCCTTACAACCTCCTGGGGAACAGGCTGTTAGTGGACAAGAATGATCCATTTTTAAAACGAAGAAAACGAGGGACTTCACTCCTGGTCCAGGGGCTAAGACTCTGCGCTCCCAGAGCGGGGGCCCCAAGTTCAATCCCTGGTCAGGGAACTGGATCCCACAGGCTGCAACCTAGAGTTCACAGGCCACAACTAAAGATCCTGCATGCCTCAATGAAGATCGAACATACCACATGCCTCAACTAAGACCCGGCACAGTCAAATAAGTAAATATTAAAAAAAAAAAAAAAAAAAAAAAAAAACCAACAAACCTACATGGGCAAGGGCTTGGAGGGCTATAAAGGGTGGTGTTTGGAGCTGCATTTTAGCTTGAACCAGAGCAGAACCACATGCAAGGTGGGGAATGAGGATGGAAGGGTCAGTGGGACCTTGCTTGGCCACACTGAGTTTGGACGTCATCTATTTCCTTGAATAAATTAAAGAACAAACTAATGAACAAAGGACTCCTGGGAGTTCTATACTCTCTATACTCTGTTCCTAAAGGATCAAGTGATTCCAATGTTTGTGTCCAAATAGGCACATTTGGACACAAGCATCGCCCCTTGGCCCTGGGCCTGGCTGGGGGAGGCCTTATTTAGCCTGGCCTGGCTCCACTGAGCTTTCCTTGGGAATATCTATGTAGGGCAAGAAGACAGCCCAGCTGCCACTGTCCATCTACCTTCCTTGGTGTCCAGCCCCCTTTCCCTGGCCCCAGACCCTGTGTTTAGTCATCATCGTGCTCTTTCTGTTACTTGATGAGAGTCCATGAATGTTGCCCATCCCAACACCCTGGTGGACCCGTGGATTCTCAGGGTGGTCTCCCTTCGTATTTGACTTGATCCACCCACCCCTTCACTCTCCAGAAGGCCAGCTGAGCTCCTCCAGACTTCTTCCCTGAGCTCCAGCAAAGGGCCAGCTATACCTGCATTTACTTAGGGAAACCTCCTCTGGTTCCCCTTCCCCCTTAAAAAAGTGAGTCCCCAAACCTCCTTTCCTGGACAAGGTAAGCTCGACATAAGAATTTACTTTCGATGTTTCTTTCTCTTCCAAGTGCATACCCCATTTCCTGGGCCCCTCTATTCATTTTTCCTTCCAGACAGGTCCCTGGAGGACTGTCTGCCCCAACTTCCCCTCAGTCAGGATGAATAAGAATCCCCAACGTGACTATAGAGCTTTATGATTTACAAAGCTCTCCGGTAAAAAGGGGAATAACCATAGTTGCTACCTCACAGGATGAGTATTGGGTGAGATCAGATGATTAAAACGCTTAGCACATGTGCAGCATGTCGCAGAGGCTGTCAATTTTCCCTCCTCCTGTCCCGTCCCCCTCTGGTCTCTGATTCAAAGACAAAACACTCCACTTGCAAAGCACTGACTTTAAGTAGTTGGCACAAGCCCGGTGACTTAAACCCAGGCTCCTGTTTACCACGGTTTCTCTGGGAGGGAGGTTATGACTGTCCCTATCTCACACACAAGGACACTGAAGCTCAGAGTGGCATTGCCACCTGCCCACGTATGCACAGCTTGTAGGGACAGGACTTGGATCTTGGGTTTTGAACGTCAAGGCCTGTGCTCTTCCATGCTACTATGCCGCCTCACTTCCCTCTACCCTGATCTTCCTCACCCATCTTGGAGCCAGTGTGCTTCTTGGGGGCAGGGTAGGGGGCTCACTAGGAGCGGCAGAGCAGGGCGGGTTCTCCTCACAAGAATCTAGGACGTCAAGGCCTGCCACCTGCTCGGAGGCTTAAATTTCTCTGCAAGGGCCCTTGGCTAAATTAGGTAATGGGCTAGGACTCTGGGAGGGGGTGGCTCGCTGACCCCAGGATCTGATTGGCCAGGGCATCGGTCCTGGGAAGCAGGGAGGTGGGAGGAGAGGATGCCCCTACAAATCTGAGGGGCTAGAGAGGGCCAGGGCATCTTTGAGTGGTGGTGTACGGAGGTGACCTGCAGTGGTGGAGTCCAGGTTGGCACGCAAAATGGTAAGGACCAGAAGGGACTTCCTTTCTGCCCTCACTGGAGCTCTTCTGGGCATCTTTCAGATCTGGGTGCTTGGTGGGGCAGTCACTTGGATGTGTGAAGATGGAATCAGAAGGCTCCTGGAACCCCGGTGTCTGGGAGGAAGGCTGGAAGACGGCCTTGGACTTGTATTAGAAGGGGAGGGCTAGTGAGGACGTTCCAGGGGTCCATCCTCCAGGCATCCTGGTTCCCTGAGATCTTCTGAGGCTTCTAGCAATGTGGATCAGAGGATTGTGAGGGGCCTCAGCTTGTCTCGCTCATGGTGGAGAGGGGGTAATCCAGCAAGGCAGTGAGTGGTGGTAGAAGAATGGGCTGGAAGCCTTGCTAAAGCCCCCCTCTGGAAGACAGGAGGCCTGCTCAGGAGCAGGACCCCAGAGCTCCAAGGGGCCAAAGATGATACAGCAGGATTAGAGAGATGTCAGCCTCCCTGAGAGGGGCTGGGATTTGAGGCTGTGCTTCTCCACCCAGAGCCCTCCCCGCTTCTCTTCAAGGAGTAACTAGACCCGAGGGCAGCTGCTGTTGCCCATGCCTGACTAAAAATAGTCTGCCCTTCTGGCTCAGGACTGGGGAGGGGGAGGGGAGGAGGGAGACAGGAGGACAGGCCCCGCCAGCCAGCTAAAGGACTCCTAGGATGCTTCAGCTACTTCCCTCACGGCCAGCCTCAGTCCAGAGCCCTGGCTGGGTGGCTGGACTTGGATGTGACTGGAACTCTCCAGAGCCATCTGTCACCCCCACAAGGCCAACATCCCACTCTGCCCAGCACCGAGTGGTATTTACTCCGATGACTGAGTCGTCGGAAGGAAGCTTACACCCTCTGTCTCTGTAAGTTCTCAGAGGGAGGGAATGTGCCTGACTCCTTGGTGGTACCAGGTCTATGGCCTGACCCTTGGTCAGTACTCAGTAACTTTCCGTCACATTATTATTTGTGTGACCACAAACATTTATTGAGCACCTATTAAAGTACCAGGCGTGATGAGTAGGTAGGGGAAACTGGAAAACCATGCTGGAATCGTGCTGGCACTTTACAAAGCCTTCTCACTCGGCTGATTCCAGCTGATCCCCCAAAAGCTGCTGAGAACAGATGAGGCCACATTTAATGATTCGCGGAAGGTGGGGGAGGGGGGGCGGTCCTAACTTGATCTCTGATTGACAAGCGAGACATAATCCCCAGTTCTTCAAAAGTGGGGCTGGGTGCTGTGGGGGCATGCCCAGAGTGGGGCAACTGGGAGCTGTTGCTCGCAGGCACTTAGGGGGCATGTACAGAAATTGGGGTGCAGGAGAACGGGGTGAAGGCAGGAATGTACTCCGGGCTGCCCCTTCGGCTCTTTGATGGCCCGTGTCTTCTGCAGACGGACCAGCAGGCTGAGGCCCGGTCCTACCTCAGCGAGGAGATGATCGCTGGTGAGTGGGGGTGGGAGGGCTGGCTGCTGGGAAGCGGGGTGCGGGCGAACCTGGGGTGTCTGGGCAGGCAGGGAGAGAGTGTGTGGATGTGAGGCTGACAGTCTCGCCAGGCTCACCGCGGCCCTCTGCCCTCCTCGCCCTGGCAGAGTTCAAAGCCGCCTTCGACATGTTCGACGCGGATGGCGGCGGGGACATCAGCGTCAAGGAGCTGGGCACCGTGATGAGGATGCTGGGCCAGACACCCACCAAAGAGGAGCTGGACGCTATCATCGAGGAGGTGGATGAGGATGGTGAGCGGGTGGCCCTTGGGGGGTGGGAGGGTGGGCGGCGGGGAGAGGGTGGCAGCGAGGGCTTGGCCCGCTCACCACCCGCTCCCCTCAGGCAGCGGCACCATCGACTTCGAGGAGTTCTTGGTCATGATGGTGCGCCAGATGAAAGAGGACGCCAAGGGCAAGAGCGAGGAGGAGTTGGCTGAGTGTTTCCGCATCTTCGACAGGTGCGTCGCGGGCCCTGGGAGCAGCCAAGCGCCCAGCAGTCTGAATCTGGCCCGCAGGGCCCGAAGGTTCTGGGGGGGGGCGGGGGAGGGGTGCAGGAGAGGGCGGGGAGCGTGGCGCGAGCGGCTCGCCCCTGCGAGCCCTGAGCTCCCCCCGCCCCGGCCCTACACGCCCGCAGGAACGCGGACGGCTACATCGACGCCGAGGAGCTGGCGGAGATTTTCCGGGCCTCCGGAGAGCACGTGACAGACGAGGAGCTCGAATCCCTGATGAAGGACGGGGACAAGAACAACGACGGCCGCATTGACTTCGACGGTGAGGGTCTGGGGCCGCGGGGACGAGAGCCCCCGCAGCTTCGCGCCCAGGCTGGCGTCCTCCGCCTTGAGGGCGGGGCGGGGCGGGGCGGGGCGGGGCGGGGCGGGGCCAGTTTGTGCAATGCAGCGGTGATAGCCGGGCGCCACGTCTAAGAGGCCGGAGCTGCCCGGCCTCGTCCGCCGCGGGGAGACTCGTGAGCGCCCCTCTGTCTCCTTTCCCGCAGAGTTCCTGAAGATGATGGAGGGCGTGCAGTAAGAAGTTGGCCCTTGCAGCCACCGACACCGCGCGGCCCTCGGGCGTGGGCGGCACTGCCCCCCGGGCCGCTCCAGTTCCCCCGCCCCGGGAGGGAGGCGCGGCCCCGTCTGGGGATGTGTCTGGAAGGAATAAAAGGAAACATTGCAAAGCGCGTGGCCTGAGTAGAGGGGAGGACGGGGACGGATCGAGTGTCCCGGGCCGCCTGGTTGGGCCACCGTCCAGGGCGCCCGCAAGGCTGGAGCCGCCTGAGCGTCCTCGGGTCCGAGCGCAGCGGGACTCGGGAACCCGAGGTGGCGATCCGTGCCCTCAGAAGTTTCGCGACGGAGCGTGCGTGACAGCTTAGCCGAGGGGCTGTGCGGCGCCTGGCGCTTCCAGGGCCCCCTCTGCTTCTAGAATCAAATCCAGATTCAGTCCCCTCCTCTCACCGTTGCCCCTCCCCTCGAGAGGCTCCGGCCTCTCTCTTTTGCTCTGGAGGTGGGTGCACTTTTAAGCCCTCGGGCCTGTGCACACGTTGTTCTCTCTCCTTGGACTGCCCTTCTTCCTCTGCCTTGGCAAATCCTGCAGCCCAGCTCAGATGCCATCTCCAAGATACCAAGACCCAGTTCAGATACCATCACGTCCTTCCTTGATCCGTGCGGTGACTGGCTGCACTCTGGCGTCCAGAGCTCTTTTGGAAACAACTCAAGGATAGTGAGAGTCGGGACGGAGCTAATTAAGTGCAGTGGTAGTTTGGCTTTGGTCAGGCTGAGTTTGAATCCTCATTGCTGGTGACAAACCACTCTCTGCTCCCTATCCTAATCTGTAAAATGGGGACAATGACAGACTTATCTTTGGGTTTACCTCGTGGCTCAGCTGGTAAAGAATCCGTCTGCAATGTTGGAGATCTGGGCTTGATCCCTGGGTTGGGAAGATGCCCTAGAGAAGGAGAAGGCTACCCACTCCAATATTCTGGCCTGGAGAATTCTATGCATTTGTACAGTCCATGGGGTCCGAAAGAGTCAGACATGACTGAGCGACTTTCAGAGGTTTGGAAGGACTAGTTAATGTGTACCAAGTGCTTAGAATAGAGCCTAGCACAGTCAGCATACAGTCAATCCTTTTAGTAATGTTATCATCTTGAAACATTGAACTCTTATTCATCACTCTAGCCCTCTCTCTCCAACTCCGTGTTTTCTTCTCCCCTTTCTGACTCATTCATGTTTCCTGGATAGTATTTCCAGCCAGGAGCTGTGCTGGAGTTTAGTAATCATCCCTATGAGTGCCTACTGTGTGCTGTTCACTGTCTTATTTATCCACACAACCCCAGGGACAGATGCCCTTATTTCCATTTTACAGAGAGGTTTGCTCTAAGTTCCCAAGTGTGTACAAGTAATATGGGAGTGGATCAGGAATTCTAACACAGTTTTACTTTAACCACCACTTATTCCTGCTACTGACATGCCTTTGCTTGTGTACGGATTCAGTCACTCAATCGTGTTTGCCTTTTTGTGACCCCATGGACTGTAGCCTGCCAGGCTCCTCTGTCCATGTGATTTCCCAGGCAAGAATACTGGAGTGGGTTGCTGTTTCCTTCTCCAGGGGATCTTCCCAATCCAGGGATTGGCGGGTGGAGGCTTTACCACTGAGCCACCTGGGAAGCCCCATTGATATGTCTGTCTGTTCCCTAAATTTCATTCTCCTTGAGGACAGCACTGTGTCCTCTTCCCTGCCTTATCCCCAGCCCCCAACCTGGGGTCTTTACCTTGTAGGCACTCAACCGCTGTACTGAATGAATGTGAATGACGATCATCACAGGAGCCTAGCAGGCTACAGTCCATGGGTTCACAAGAGTCAGGCGTGACTTAGCGACTTAGCAACCACGACCACCTTCTCATACTTCCTGTGCTAGTGTCAGAAGCCGAAGTCAAACTGACTTACACCAATAAGAGATTTGTTGACTTGTGACACTGGGATGCCAAGGCGTGAAGTGGAGGCCAGAGTTTCAGTGTCATCGCTCAGCTATTTGTCTCCGCTTGGCATTCTTCCATCTGCAGCTGTCTCCACCAGCAGCCCAGACTGACTCCCTCCTCTTTTAGCAGCCCTAGTAGTGTTCAAGAAAGCAGTTTTACCTTCTTGGAGGGATTAGTTCTGAATGATAATGTAGAGTTGGGTCTCTGTGACTGACACTTGTAGGCCATGTGACCATCTGGGGTGGGGGGCGGGTCAGACACCACGATCTATGAAAGCACATAAAGAGGCTTCCTAAGGCAGGCAAAGACGCATCCACCTTGGCCAGCACTTAAGAACCAGTGTCAGATTCTGAGCTCTGCTCTTCTCAGACGTCTCCCGGCCTGGTGATTTTTTTTTTTTTTTAATTTTATTTATTTCTGGCTGCACTGGGTCTTTGTTGCTGCGCACGGGCTTTCTCTAGTTGAAGCGAGCGGGGCTACTCTTGGTTGCAGTGCGTGGAGTTCTTATTGCAGTGACTTCTCTTGTTGCAGGTCATGGCCTCTAGGGCATGCGTGGGCTCAGGGGTTGTGACTGGCGGACTCTATAGAATGCAGGCTCAGTAGTTGTGGCGTACGAGCTCAGTTGCCTTGTAGCATATGGGATCTTCCTGGACCAGGGGTCGAACCTGTGTCCCCTGCATTGGCAGACAGATTCTGAACCACTGGACCACCAGGGAAGCCTGGTCTGGCGATTTTCTTTTTATTTTTTCGGTGATTTTCAATTTGATAGTGTCAGAATCATCTGGACAGATTACTGGGGCTAGAACTTGCATTTCTAGCCAGATCCCGGTGACAAGTGGAAGGAACACACCATGAGAAGACTGCTCTGTACCTTTAACTAAACGGCAATGATACCCCCTGGGAGCTGGTTGGAACTGCAGAGCCTCAGGCCCCACCCAGACCGACTGAATCAAAATTTGTATTTGAATAAAATCCTGGGCAGGTTTACAAGCAGGTAGATTGAGCCACAGGAGTTTAAGCTCCAAGAAGAGAGCCAACAGCACAATCTGAGATGAAGAAATTGATCAGAGGACATCTAAGTTCCAACCACATTTCTTTCCACATGTGACAGCTTGGTCAGGGCACAGGGATGTGGGCTAGCTGGATTAAGAGGAAAAGGTGGGTGAGAACCTTCCTGATTGTCTCCTGCTGTCTCCTCCTCCTACCCTACCCCAGGCCTGCACAAGCAGCTGCAGACACAGTTGACCAGGCTGCGTGAGCAGGGCAACACTCGGGCCTTGTTGGAGCGCACCTGAGCTTCTCACGGAGATCTTCCTGCGGGACCTGGGCGGGGCCCAGCACCTCAGCCTGCTGCGACCCAGCTGGTCAACACAGGGGTTTCCTCCTAGGGGCCCAAAGGCCTGTGGTGGGTCAGTGGAAAGATGGCCCAAGGGCCTGGGGGTCTGGACCAGTGGTACAGCAGAGGAAATGCTGGGAGATGGAGCAGGTGAATGTGCCCCAGTGGAGATGGAGCCATCAGTGGAGGACCTGGGGCAGGGGGTGACTTGCAACCTCGATCCAGAAAACTTCCCCTGGCTGCCTCCTGAGAACCTGGGCCGGCTGTAGGGTCACCTGAATGTCCTCTTGCTCCTTCTTCAGGGTCAAAAAAATCTGTCATAAAGTGGGTGTCTGGTCCTCTTTCCAATCCCCTCCAACACACACATACACACTGTAATCACTGTTTCAGTCTTAAGATCTGGCTCAGCTTCATCTGCAACATAACTGGGACAACACCTGTATTCCTGGTCTGTGTCACCACTCCATAGGATCAGCATTTTGCTTTTCTTTTTTAAATTAGTATTTATTTATTGCCACGCTGTGTGGCTTCTGGGATCTGTTCCCAGGCATTGGACCTGGGCTGCAGTAGTGAAAGCGTTGACTCCTCACCACTAGACTGCCAGGGAACTCCCAGAAACTAGCATTTTGTGATACCCGTTTTATAGATGAGGAAACAGATGCAGAATCATAAAATAACTCAGGTTGCAAGGGAGGGAATCCTGTCACTCCCTTGCTCAGCCCTACAGCCTATCAGCTGTTTCTACTCCCTGGGCTGTGGAGCAGAGAACCCAAACCCTAAACCTGATCTCTGCTAACCCTGGGCACTTCCAACCCTTGGGTAATGACAAAACAGCAACTTGCTATAAAAACCCCAAAATGTATTTATTTAATATATTCATCACAAGGGTTTAACCACACTTAATTTAAAAAACAGAAACAAAACAAAAATGACACCACAGATAAGACAGAGTCCTGTACAGAAATCGAGGCATGGACAGACCGCCTAAGGAAAAAAAAGAAAAAAAAGACAACACAAGGAGAGCTGGACATCCCAGGTCAGGGGTCTTGGCTGGAGACTTGCTTTGAGTAGGTTTCTTGCAGGTACTTCTTAAAGGCTGGAAGAGAACAGGCAGGTCTCGGTGAGTGATGGGGGCAGGGGTAAGGTGGGCAAGACAGCAGCAAGAATACACACGTGGGAGGAGTTTGGGGAGCTGGGAGGGGTTTCCCAGCACAACAGTTTGACCCTCTGCTGGTCACCCAGACAGGTCTCCTGGATGGACTCTGCTTCTAGAGGGTAGCTCTGCTCCCAGGGACAGGGGAGGCAACTAGGGGCCCTGAGAGACATTTGCACAAAGCTTTGCCTTCTACTGAAAATCTCCCCAAGCTCCATTAATGTGGAATGGGTTGGTTTTTCTGATTTTATAGCAAATAGGAGAACCAGACACATCAAGGAAGAGGTGGAAGTGGGTTACCCCCTCCCCGGCCCCCCACCCTGCCACTCCCTGCCTGGCCCCCTTAAGACATCAGAACACATTCTCAAGTCACTGGAGTCCTCCTGTTGTTTGAAGGAGCTTCTGAAGGTTGGGAAGGGATAGTCCGGTGCCCTCAGGATGAAGGACCCACCTGTGGGGTTTTTCCAGAGCTCGGCGGCATGTGTGTTCAAAGGGCTATCAATGTTGGGCTCTGTGGGTGGAGGAAAAGAAGGATCAGGTGTGGCTAGGAGAGGCAGCCCAGGGGAGTCCTGACAGGTCCCCCGGTTCTGGGGGAGGGGCCGGCCCGGGCAGTCACCTCCGAGCAGACTCTGGATGGAGAGCAGGATGGTCCTGACATCATACAGGGCGGACCACTTGTCTTTCAGGATGTCCAGGCAGATGTTACCCTGGGTGTCCACATTGGGATGATAGCAGGGTGTGAGGAACTTCACCGTGGGCGCGTTGTAAGGGTAGCCACTGGGGAACTCCAGGGACAGTTTATACCTCAGGTCTTCATATACCTGGAGAAAGAGATTCGCAGGGTAACCCTCCCGCCCCGAGCCTCAGTTCCCAGCCCAAGCCCCACATAAGGGACTTGCCAGGACCCCTAAGTTCATCTGAGACTCGACAGAAGACGAAGCATGAAACTAGTCTGGTGTTTTCTCTCGTATCTGGTGGGGTCCTCAGTGATCCTTTGGTCTAAGGCCCACCAGCCTAAGTGCTCAATTGTCTTTGCTGTCTGGTCCTCTGTAAGCCATCTCAGATGGGGAGCGCTGCCTTACACCCAGCCTCTCACTGTAGTCCGGGAGACCAGGGCCACAGGCTCAGGGCACCCCAGCAGACACAGGGGAGTGTCCTGCCGGGCAAAAGGTGAAGCAGACCTGGCACTTGGATTTCACCTCCCACCTCTCCCCAGACTCAGCTGAGTCACACTCACCTCCCCCAACCCTGCACTTACTGTGCCAGCGGCTCCATGGATGGTCCCCACCCATTTGAAGAGGTTGTCCGACTCAGGGAAGGCAGAAATTCCTTTATCGCCAGACATCTGGGGAGCAAACACAACACATGCTGGGCTGGAAGAGTTCGCTCCTGGGGGGGGCCAGTCAGTGAACCCCTTTCTCTTAACCTCACATTTTGATCCAAAATAAAAGCAACCTGGCCAAACCGAAATGCTTTCCTGAGGGGAGTACTGGGATTGTGGAGTTTCATCGCCAGGCTAAGAAAGGAGATGTTATGTAGGGAAGCAGAAGGCAGCTCTGTACCTTTAATGCTGTGGGAATTCAGTTCAACATGCTATTTTATTTGGCTGTTCTTTGGCTTGTGGGATCTTCGTTCCCTGACCAGGGATGGAACCTGGTCCAAGGCAGTGAAAGCTTTGAGTCCTAACCACTGGACCACCAGGGAATTCCCTCAACATGCTATTGAGTGCTGGTTATAGATGAAGCCCAGAAGCTATTCACAGACTGGGAAGAGGAACAATATGGTCATTGAAGGATGTGAGTTGAGTATCTAGGGTTAATGTAGAAAACATAGTCCAGGAAGGAAGTGTTCCAAAGTATGACAGGATTAGGAATATTAAGAAGGATGGAGAGACAGGTGTGGATAAACCTGAGGGCTTCCCTGGTGGCTCAGGGGGTAAAGAATCTGCCCACAATGTGGGAAGATCCCCTGGAGAAGGAAATGGCTACCCACTCCAGTATTCTTGCCTGGAGAATTCCCTGGACAGAGGAGACTACCAGGCTACAGTACACGGGGTTGCAAAGAGGGGGACACCACTGAGCTACTAACACTTTCACTTGTTTCAAACCTTAGGGCAGGGAAGTAGGGCCAGGCAGGACAGGGAGAGGGCCTTGTACAAGAGCTGTATTTTAGGTACAGCTTCACTGTGGGGGGATGGTACTGGGGAGTAGAGATTGCGGAAGAAAAGGTGTGTAGGTGGGGTGGATTAACTTCTTTCCAGAAGAGAGAAAGGTGGACTCATCTTTTTATCCCCACGACTACCAAAGAGCCTGATGTAGGAAAGGAAGCCACTGATAAGTGACAGGAGGTGGGAGGGTAGACCAGTTGGTTGGGGATCTGGGCACCAGTCACTCACCATGAGAGTCATCAGCTCCTGTTGCAGCCTGCAAAAAGAGTACTTGGAGTCACCTGGGGGTCTGGATGGGCCAGGACTCCCGGTACCTCCTCCCATCCCAGTCTCTGGGGCAGCTGTCACGGAGGCTTTCCTCCACCCTGAAGTCGGACTCACCTGGGGGAACAGTCACCTCCATTTCCATAGGAGGGTACTACTGAGCCCTCACCCTTCCTAATTCGAGGATCTGGCTTACTCTTAACCCCATCTGCTTCTCTGGCGTCTCTCTCCGGATCTCAATTTCTCCCCTTCTTCCTCCCCGACCCCGCTCCCACGCCGCCCTCCGGCCTAAACACCGAGGATCGCCGGAGTATCTTCATCTCGGCTCACTGACAGAGGACCCTGGCAGCGATCCTACCCCTTCCGTCCTCTTTCGGGAGTGTCTCTTAAGAGCAGGAGAGCTTCTGGCGTGTCTCTCTAACTCCCGTATCTTACCCGTTCCAGGAGGGGGGGGGGGGGTCCCGGAAGTCTTCCTTCTCGGCCCCAAATGCGCAGGGCGTGCCAGGCCCGGCGGGTGTTACCTCCACACCACTCACCTCTTGCCCACGGGGCCCCGGGCGGCACCCCCGCTGGGCTCGGCTCCTTTACGGGCGGCGGCGACGCTGGCGGAGGCTGGGTCGCGATTCTGGGAAGCCATCCGGGCGGCGATGAGACGGAGATAAGCGGTACTGCGGAACTCACAGTTGCAACTGCAGTGCTGCGGGCCCGCCCGCCCGCGTTTGAATTGTAACCCTTCGGCAGCGCTAACCAATCAGTGGCTCGCTTGGGTTTGATCCAGCCAATGGGGCACTCCAGAGTGCTATGTCACCGCGCAACCGCTAGACCCACCTACCAGCGTACTACTATTGGGCGACAGAATCGGGCTTCTCACTGGCGATTGGCAGAAGAGGCTGTCATTGATTAACGAACCTGTAATGGATTGGCCGCCTTTGGAAAACGCCGACCATTAAAGGGCCTAGAAGACGTCCACGTGGGATGAATCCCTGTAGGTCAAATACTTGGCTACAGTCGGCAACACCCGGCACTCCATTACCGAGGGTCTCCAATCTTGTTTGTGTGCGCGCTTCTCAGTCCTAACTCTGCGACCCCACGGACTGTAGCCTGCCAGGCTCCTCTGTCCATGGAACTTTCCAGGCAATACTGGAGTATGTTTCCATTTCCTACTCCTGGGGATTTTCCCAATTCAAGGATCAAAGCAGTGTCTCTTGCTGTCTACTGCATTGGTAGGCGGATTCTTTACCTGTATGCCACCTGGGAAGCCACACTCGTCCCTAAAACCGGAAACCCCAGCTCCTCCACCTGTTATTAATGTCCTAGGCACTTTGGTTGGGGCCTTAGGTGTCTGAACACGCAGGTGAGGGAAAAAACTAGAAGCTGATGGTTAGAGTGAGAGAGTCCTTATTGGAAAACAGCTTCATTGGCTGCCTCTCCAACAGTTTGCTGCGTTACCCTGGGCACAAAATTTAGTTTTAACCTATAAAATGGGGGTAATAAAAGCCACCTTACATTTTTCTTCTGATTTGTCATCAACCTCCCATGGTGCCAGCCATCACATTCTGCTATTCCACGCTTTAGTTGGGTGAGGAAACAGAAACAGAGGGACAGGGAAGACTGGCAAAATCCATGGTGTCCCCAGCTTCATCTCACAAAGCAGATATTCGCGAGTCACTGGGCTTGCTGTGGTGAGGGTGCCTGGTCCTTTTTTCCTACACCCACTTCCTATAGAGCCCTTGATATTTTGTCAGCCCCCACTGGCAGACCTCACAGCAGGCTCACCATCTGTGTTTATTACAAACTGTTTAATTGCTTCTTATCCCAATAACTTTACAAATATAGAACCACATGCCAGTCTGGGGGCGCTCTGCAGTGAGTCACTACAAACTAGACCAGGCATAGCTTAATGCTGCTGAGATCCATCTAGGAGCAGTCCCAGCAGTGGCCTCAGCCATGTGGGTACAAGGGCCTTGGAGTAGGGCTGCCAAGTGTAACCAGGGGACCTGGTTTCAGGTCTGTGGAGGCGCTTCGACAGCACGATGCTCATTCTCTGTCCGGAGTGTCTCCATGTACTTCCGCATCTTCTCAACCATCCAGGAGGGCAGGACAAAGGATTTCAGCTCCTCTAACTTCAGGTCCAGGCATCCTCTAGAACAGACATTGAGGAGGAGTGTTGAAGCAAGGGAGGATGTAGGTCCAAGCTCATCCCAGTGGGGAGGGGAGAGCAGAGACTAATGGTTTTACCTGTAGTCATCGCTGGCAGCGAGGTCCCGGATGTCCTCCTCAATGAGGAGGTAGGCCTAGGGTAGGAGCAAAGGAGAGTCATCATTGCCTCTGGTTCATTTCAGTCCAACTCGATTAACACTTTATTAAATGTCTGCTTAAAGTAAGGGCTGGAAGGGAGGGGCCAGTAGTCACAGTTTATAATTTAGCAATGGAGACAGTAAGGAGAGACTGTCTGGGGAACAGTTCCTTGAGACATCTTTCACTTAAGTTGAAACTTTCTGGGTGGGAGTGGGCAATGGTGACTAATTTATCTATAGCTGCCATCTCTTGTAAAAAGGGACCCTGAGGTGTTTTAAAATGAAAGGGCCAATAAAAAGGAACACACCTGAGTCAGTGCTAATGAGGTGGGTGAACCTAGAGCCTATTATACAGAGTGAAGTAAGTTGGAAAGAGATAAATAAACACTGTATATTAACCCATATATATGGAATCTAGAAAGATGGTCCTGATGATCCTATTTGCTGGGCAGTAATGGAGGTGCAGACATAGAGAACAGACTTATTGACGTGGAGGGGGGCGGGGTAAAGAAGAGATGGTGGGACAAATGAAGAGAGTGGCACGGAAACATACATTAACATATGTAAGACAGATATGGGACTTTGCTGTATGACTCACAGAACTCAAACTGGGGCTCTGGGACAGCCTAGTGGGATAGGACGGGGTAGGAAGTGGGAAGCGGGCTCAAGAGGGAGGGGACATATGTACCCATGGGTGATCCATGTTGATGCATGGCAGAAACCAATACAATGTTGTAATTATCCTTCAATCAAAAGTAAATTAAAAAAAAATGAAAGAGCCAGAGAGCCAGCAAAGTACACATGGAAACAGGAAATCAGAAGGAAGCCATGTGTGAACCCCAGAACTAAGATAAGCTGGTTCTGAACTCTGAGGCAAAAGGGCAAACACGATAAACTGCACTGCTGTCCAGAAGCTGGGCTGTGTGGTTCGGGGCCTGTAGAACTGCTTTGGCACAATGCCACGATCTGCCTTGGGAGAGCCCTCTTGTGAACTTACCACGTGGGTGATGATGTTCATCACATGAGAGTCTTCTGTGGGAGGCATTTCTTTCCAGTCTTAGGGTCAGAAATAACTGTGTGTCCCTTGAGTCATTTGACTGTCTTCATCTTAGGGGCACAGGAACTGAATTTGTGAAAACCTATAGACATGCACTGGTCTCCCAGGCTGGTAACTTAAAATTCCCTTGCCCTTTTTAAAAAAAACAAAACAAACAACAATCCTTTTTTATAACTAGTCTTGCTCCTGCCTTAATTTTCGATTTTGCCTTTCCTTTTTTCCTCTCTATTTATTATTTATGTTATGTGTTCACAGTAAGCTTCCTAAAATCCTTTTTGAAAGCGAGTGTAACATAAATATAGTAGAAAATAAAAGGAATCCAGGTAGGGGATGGTGTAGTGGCTTGCAAGGCCACTAAATTCTAACAGGAGCAGTCCCAGCAGTGGGACTAAGTGCATCTTCAGGTGAGAGACAGTGCATGTGATGGACACATCCCTCCATGACAGTTTTAGAATACACGTGACGATGATTTTCCTAAGGATGTTGCTTGATTTGTGCTGAGAACTCTTCAAGTAGAAGTGATTCTGGAAGGGGTTGCCAGGTGTGGCAAACAAGTTTCACTGCATGTGCCAATTTTTTCTGACAAGGGGTGCCGCCTGGGGCAGTGCTGAGAAGAGATCCCAAAGCTGTGTCTGGTGGCAGAGTTGTGATGGAGGGTGAGATCTATCAACAGGCAGTGCGTGATGGCGGTGTTAGGTGTGTCTTGTACTTGCCACTCTTACATCAGCTACTATGAACTACGTATGAGGGGGCCACAGGGGGGGGGGGCAGTGTGTGGGAGACCTGGGCACAGGAGAGGAAAGGCAGCGCTTACAGGGAGGTCTTCAGCACGAAGGAATGGGCCCTCTCTACTCCTACAAGTCTCCTTTCTCATTTGTTGGGCATGGAGTCTCTTAGGTTTGAAGGTAAGCTGTCACCAACAGCCCTGGTCTCTGGGCTGGGTGGGTCCCTGGCAGTGGCACGTGTGAACAGTGCTTACCATCTTTCCCCCAGTTGCCCGCATATGATGCTGCTCGGCCAGCCAGTGCTTGTCCTGGGGGTCAGCTGCATACTGTGAGGGATGAAACCACAGGGGGAGACATTAGCCTGGTGTGATGGGCATTTTTCATTTGGTTCAGAATATACACTTAGCCTTTGAGGCCTTCTTACCAACAAGACCTCTGGTGGCTGGAGAGGGCTCACTGACCTCTTCAGAGCAAACAGGGCTGAGCCCAGGAGACCAGGGAAGGGGGCCCAATCCCCAGAGATTTAATATACTTCTAATTCCTTTCCCTTAAAAAATTTTTCTTTTTTTTTTTTTTGGCCAAGACTCAAGGCTTGTGGGATCTCAGTTCCCCAGCTAGGGACTGAACCTGGGGCATGGCAGTGAAAGAATGGAGTCCTAACCACTAGACCACCAAGGAACTCCTCCCTTTGCTTTCGTTTCCTTTTTTATCTTTTATTATAACATCAAGGGGCTTCCCTGGTAACTCAGTTGGTAAAGAATCCGCCTGCAATGCAGGAGACCCAGGTTCAATCCTTGAGTGGGGAAGATCCCCTGGAGAAGGAAATGGCAACCTACTCCCATATTCTTGTCTGGGAAATCCCATGGACAGAGGAGCCTGGCAGGCTACAGTGGCGGTTTGCCAAGAGTTGGACATGATTTAGCGACTAAACCACCACCATAACATTAAAGATGAGCCCTGCCCAGGGCACAGAGTGAACATTCAGAGTTGTTTCTCTCTACGGAAATCTTTAGTAAATGGCAAAGATTTATTCTATTTCAAGAGAAACCAGAGTATCCTCCCTTTCCTTCCTTAAAACACAGCACCTCTGGCAACTGGTCAGACTGGTGACTATATCTGAGAGCTATACTCCTCTTTGAAGAAGTGATTGGAGATGGCTTACAACATATGTGGCTATTAAAGTGACCAAATTTTCTAAAACAAAAGTCAGGACACTTCATGCCCTGGAGGCAGAAGAGCATCATGGGTAAGAAGTTAACTGTGGGGTTCAGAACTCAGCCCACGGGGAGCGCATGTGGCGGGGAGAGCTGGAGATGAGCGTATGAGGTGGCTAGTTTGGCCTGGTGGGCTTCCAGGGGGCGGCAGGTTAAAACAGCAAGAAAGAAAAGAAAAAAAACTTGGTTCATAAATCTCGGTTTCTTCTACTTATTAGGTGGTGTAAATCGAGGCAATGATTTCTCTGAGACTCAGTTTCTTCATTTGTAAAACAGAGAGTATTAACACTTATAGGCTTGTTGTTAAAATTAAAGGAGTCAGCACATCCCTGGTGGTCCAGTGGATTAGAATCTGCCTGCCAACGCAGAGGACATGGGTTCAGTCCTGGTCGGTGAAGATCCTACATGCCGGGGAGAAACTAAACCTGTGTGCCACAACTACTGAGCCCAGAAGACCGGGCACCTAGAGCCTGTGCCCC